GTGTGCGGTGGACTGGGAATTCTCAAGTTGCATTTTCAACATGCGAGGAGGGAGCCATAGCCCTGGGACCCTGGGAGTCATCACAAGAGCCAGTATTCTGACCAGGACAATTCTCACACCTGTTTAATGTGTGTCTCATGACTCTATAGTCCCCAGAGGCCACAGAAGCCACATCTGCCTTGGCCCTGGACCTCCTGGGTCACTCTGGGATCAAGTGTACCTAAGGACAAACTTGGAAGGAAATGCTGGACACAGGAAGGAAGAGCCGCCATCCCACTTTCATGACCACTCTGCCATCTGTGTTCACACCACCTAGCTCTACCCTTACATCAGCCTGCCCTGTCATAATTAGCACAGTGATCTGTAGGTGTGTGTCAATGAGTTTAAATCCTTGCACATAATTAGTTTTCTGAAACAGACAAAAAGATCTCTCCCAAAATCCAATTTAGATAATGAATCTGTTCAGCTAGGCCTGTTCCCTTCCAAACTACAAACAATACTGCCCAGGCTGGGCATAAAATCAGAATTAGCTGGACATAAAAAAGTTTGGGGTTCAAACACAGACAAAACAGATAGGTATTTTTGAATCTTACTCAGCCTGGCTCTCTCCTCTTAGGCCGGTAAACACTTTGAGACATCAGGACTCGAAGAAACAACACAAGGTTCAGAAATAGAGGCGAGCACCAAGAGTATTCTAGATGCGATTTGGGCAAACAGGAGGACTTAGAGGGGGCATTGGGCTGGGGAGATGGGTCAGTGGGTAAGAGGGCTGCTGAACAAGGATGAAGACCTGGATTCAAATGCCCCTGCACCCATCAAAAAACATGAGGAGTGGTGTGTGCCCCTGTACCCCAGCACTAAGAAAGCAGGTGGAGACAGGGAGATCTCTAAGGTGCACAGCCTGGTTCTGGGTTGAAGGAGAGACCCTGTCCAAAAGGCATATGACAGAGAGTAATAGAACAGGCCATCCATCCTCCTCTTCTGGCCTCTGTGTGCACACATGAGGTCATGCACACACACACAAGTAGCACATATACACCACATGTGTATACCACATATACATACAGAGGGAGAGAGAGAGAAAGACTTTTGGGCCTCCTCAGTACCCAGCATTCCTTTTGGTGAACAAAGCCTCCTTTCTACACATATATGTGTCTTTGGTAATGCCACAAGTAAAACCCCACACACAAACAAAAAGGAAGAGACAGAGACAGAGATGGAGAGACAGAGAGAGAGAGAAAGAAGACAACATCTTCCTGAGGTTGCAGACAGAGAAGTGTGACAAAGGCCCATCAGACCCCAGGCTGCCACACAGCAAGGCTCCAGCACACTAACCAGTCCTATCCTGTTTACTGGATTTTTGTTTGTTTTTTGCTTGTTTGTTTTGTTTGTTTGTTGCAAGGTCTCCTTGCTCCAGGCTGGCCTCAAACTCACTATGTAGCCTAGGATGGCTTTTATTGAACTCTCCATCCTCCTGCCTCCACCTCCTGAGGGCTGGTTGACAGGCCATGCATCATTACACCTAGTGTGTACTGTGTGGGGATCTAGCCATGGCTTCCGACATGTTAGGAAGGTGCTGCCAGCTGAGTGACAGCCCCAGCCCTGTTTCCTTGTGTTCTGACTCCGTTGATTCTGCAAAGGCTGAAGAGATGCTTCCAGGGGCGGCACTCAGACCCACGCGGACCACCTGATCCATACCACCCACGCTCCTCACAGGCCAAGGCTGAAAGAGCTGGTCTTGATCTGATCAAAAGCCTCCCAGGGCACACCCTTGAGAAGTCATGGGTACCAGCAGTTTGGGAAGCCGGTGTTCTCTTCAGAAAGAACTGCTCTGCATCACCACCCTTAAGAAGAAATAAAAGTGGATGAAACGCAGCCAAGTTTCCATGGGGACCATGCCCAGCAGAGATGAAGGGCAGAATCAGACAGAGGGAAGACGTATGTCTCATTCTAGAGTCAAAGCTGTCCTGAGTAGTACGAACTCTCAGTGGGAAAATCAAAATGGAAAAAGCATGTTTATAGTTGATATATGTGCTTTGTGTACACATGTGTGTGCATATATGTACATATGTGTTTGTGCATATGTATATATAGATATATATGTATATACATGTGTGTGTGTGCATATTGTATGTGTGTGTGTGCTTATATGTGTTTGGGTGTATGTGTATATGTGTGTGCATTCATTTGTATGTATGTGTGTGTGCATGTGTGTATGATCAAGTCTCACAAACCAACCCTCATTCTTTCACCACACCAAGTTTCTCAATGTATTCTCCTCTAAGTCCATCAATTTCTTCCTTCCAATGCTGGTCACAGCCCATTAAATTGATATCATCATCTGCTAATGGCCTCTAACCTCAGACCTAAAAAGCATGAACGTATTCCAAGCTCTTTTGGTCAACCAACGCAGGCGAGCTGTGCTTCCCCAGGGTCGAAGCCAAGGTCCCAAGTCTGCTTCATGATGGAAGCCAAGGCCATCTTGGGGCAGGCTAAGTGTGAGCTCCTGTTACCCGCCCAGTCTTACTGCTAGAACTCAGTGACCACAATGTTCCTCTCCCCACCACACCTTGAGGTGAATCTGAGGGTCCCTGGAGGTGGCCAGGGACCTGTCCCCTTAAGGACAGCACTGACACAGACAGAAGACCATCAGAGGAAACATTTCACCCTCCGGGATGCTGATGTGAGTTCCCAGCACCTGAAGGTGGCTGGGACCACTTGGAAGACCTTGAGGAAGGAACAGATTAGGTGTGTCTGTAGTCAAAGTCAAGATCTCAAGGAGGAAAGTCGGCCTTGAAGACACAAAGGGGCAGCCTCTCACATAAGCCCAACCATGCAGACAAGATGCCACAGGTCTCTTGGGGACCCACCCCTAGAGGAATGCTGAGAGGGCGAGAAATAGTCTTCCCCAGGGAAGAGCACACAGATTGGTAATCCAACACTAAATGACCAGCTCTGAAAACATACATATTCAGGTAACATGGTGTGGACTCCGCAGACTTCATTTATATGCTCAGGAATATATTTAGAGAAATAGCTGCCATGAACTTGAGACAGAGTAAGGGGAAAGGGAGCATGGGAGGTTTGGAAGGAGAAAAGTGATGCAATCATATTTTAATTTCTATATATATACATAATATTATAGGTCTAGAAACCATAGTGTTATATATTATATATTACATTTTACATATTATAGATAACACATATATAATATTGGAATGTTATATAATATATATTATATATAATGCTCTAGGTCTAGAAACTCTGCAGGGGGTGACTCAAAAGTCCCTTCACGGTTCACACAGGGATGGTGAGAGGCAGACCCCAGGCTCCTCATCACTCTCCATCCTGGCAGTTTCACACTTAGCCCTCCTGGGACTCTCTCCCCCACAGCCTCACCTCAGGTCTCCAGGCCTCAATCTCAGTGGTTCTCAGGAAACCATGAACATCGAATCTAATTCTGATCAGAAGAGCCTCTTGCATTTGCTTCAGCATCTGAGGGACCAGACGGTTTTGTCTCCAAGGCTCCCAGCTGCTAGGACACCCTTCACCTGATCTCACTCTCCCCTTCACACATCCTCAAAAGGGAGGGGGAGGTCTTAAGACAAACTACAGCCAAGGGCAGAGGGAAGCTAGTTTTGTTTGTTTGTTTGTTTGTTTGGTTGGTTGGTTGGTTGGTTGGTTGGTTGGTTGGTTTGTTAAGATAAAGTGTTATTGGAACACGGCCCACCCATTTGCTTACCTGCTGTGGACAGGCTGATTTGGTTGTTGAGCAATGACAATACAAACCTCTGCAGCTGGTACAACCAAAATTATTTACCATATTTACTGTCTGTCCCTTCACGGTTTTTGAACTCTGGGATGACTGGATCCTAATTCTCTTGTTTTTAGCAAAATAAACTGAACATAGATTGACTGTTTAAAGCAGTTTTGAATGTAACCTCAAAGGTGTCAAACAGATTCACAGGTTATGTATGTAAATGGCACCAACTGTCACCAGAAAATTTTCTCATCCCAAATTCTGTTCCCATTGAATAATGGCAGCCCATTTCTCCCTCCCTCACCCCAACCGACCACCATTCTACTTCCTGTCCACAGCCTTGGCCCCTCTAGCTTTGAACTTTTGCGTCTGGCTTCTGTCACTCAGCCTACCGCTGTCAACTCCATCCTGTCATAGCAGGAGTCAGAACTGCCCCCCTTCTCGCTGCTGAATACTACCCCCTGTATGAAGAGGCCCACCTCGCCTCCTCACACAGCTGCTGAAGGACACTCGGGCAGTCCCTGACATTTATAGGTCATGAGTGGAATCATGACTAATTCCTCGGTGTCATCTCTGTTGTGTGCCCAGGGCCCACAGCCACGGGGGCCTCCTGCCTCCTCTCCTACACTTCCTCCTACCCACCTCACACAAAATGAGCCTGGATTTCAAACACCTCACAAAGAACAAAGAATGCCTTCACAGTCACATTTTACATTGACGCTAGGTTGGAATGATGATTATTTTGGTAGAGTCATAGAGCTTTTTTTTTTTTTTAACTCATTAATAATGTGCCTGCCAGATACTTCAAGGCTAACATGTAACTTTTACCTATGTCTAGGGCCAGCAAGAAGGTGACCCTGTGTCCATCCAAAGAATAAGCGTGTCTGACCCGGTGGGCCATACCCAGCTCGGCCAGCGTTCCCCAAAAGCACTCTCAGGCAACCCTAATGGGATGGTTCGGCTGTGTTCCCATGAGTACTATCTACTAAAATTGCCGCATAGTTTAGATCTAGCCCCAAGCCCTGACATACCTACCAACCACTCAGAAATACTAAAGGCATCACGTAAAAAGTAACTGTCAGCTCCGGAAAATTCCATCCAACCTGCTTTCTCAGAACCCACGGTGCAAAGCTGCCTGCCTTTACCTAGACCCACAGACACAAGACTGTCCGCGCCCAGCTTCCCCCGAGGAGCAGCTCCTTGGGTTCAGCCACCCGGAGTGCCCACTGACCCCACTCACTTGGGTGTGTTGGCCTCGTCTACGCGGTTCCCTAGCTGGAACTCGTGGGATTTGCTCCTGTGCAGCGCCGTGAAGCCGGGAAGCAGGTGGATGAGCTTCCGGGAGGAGGGTGGTGGAGTCCCCGGAGGCTTCAGCTTGTTTTTTCTCCTCATGGGCGGGGTACCAGGCGGGGTCACGGTGGTGACGATATTTGGGGTGCGTGGTGGGGTACGGACTGCGTGCCGCTGCCGGGGTGACGGGGGCAGGGAGCGGTGGCCTGATTCCAGGGGTGGCGGCGGGCACAAGCCCTGGTAGGCATCCACAGGGAGTCTGTCCACGTGGGTGTACACGGGGGCTCCAGGCGTAGGGCTGGTGTGACACAAGCGCTGGACACACTTGGACTGGACCCGGGGGCTCTGGGCGAGGTGGGTGCGGACCCACGGGCTGGGCTCCGCGGGGCACACGGGGTTGTTCTCCTGCCCTGGCTCCGCCGTGGGCCACTGGATGATCCAGTCTTGTTTGGAGAGGTTCCCTCCTGAGTAGGAGCAAAGGAGAAGAGAAAGGCGGGTGAGGGAGGGTTGGGTCGCCTTCCGCAGAGCTGCCCCATCCTCGCTTTACCACATGTGCGTCACACCCGGGGCTTCTTACGTCACAGCAAGGTACACACAGCGCAGTGAATCTTGTGCAGCTTGCTCGATGTGTACATCCCTTCACACCTCAGGCCACACACCTCACGCTGTGCACACACCTCCTACGTACCTCATGCCCCGTATAGAGCCTCACACTTTGCGTTGGCCTCCTTGTGCGACTCACGGTGTGCTCACACCCCATACACACTTCATGCCATATGCAAGACATCACACACACACACACACACACACACACACACACACACCTTATGTTGTAGGCACACACCCCCGCGCCGTGTGCATACAGCTCACACCATCTGCCTATCCCACCACATCTACACTGCGTCATATCCACCTCACACCATACGCACATCCCGTCAGAGGGACCTCACACAACACATCTGTGCCGCCATAGACATGCTGCACCTCATCAGACACACATCGGACCATACCACACCGAGGCGCGCACGTGTCTACGCACGCTCTACGGAAGGGCATTATAGCATCCACATGCTGCATCGGACGCACACTAGACCGTGCACATAGACCATACGTCATATGCGCAAGACCACGTGCTCATCACGCCACGCATACATTTGCACACCTGTAGGCAAATGTATACATAGGCCCATTCACAACGCCTGACCGCGTCCCTCGGCCCTGAAGTCTCTTTGCCTCCATGCCCTCGCCCCACACAGCAGCCTTCGCCTCACAGCTGGGAAGCCCACACCCCAGAGACTCTGTAAAGCAAAGCAGTTGGTCCTTGCCCTTACACGTTACATTCAACAACGTCCGGGTGCTTTTAAAGCAAGGAGAACGCTTCCCCGAGGAGCACATCTGAAAACCTGACTCCAACGTGAACGCAGACTTGACGGACAGGCAAGGCTTTCCTGGAAGCCTTTCACGTGATCGCAGGGAGGGGAGCAGGATAGGCAGCGTTCCATGATGGTGAGCAGCAAAGCAGATGGTCCACACAAACCACAGACACGACACTGCTGCCCGAAGGAGCCGGTATCCGTGCGCAGAGCTGGGGGGTCCCCAGGGAATGCGAGGGGCCTAATGCTACAGGGCTCACTCTCTGACTCCATCTCCACAACCTTGTACAGAACAGCTCTCTAGACGTGGTTGGCAGAAGTCAGGGTGGGCAATGAGGAAACGGGAGGAAATGCAAGTGACTACAAAACAGCAACACGAGAGATGCGTGCAGGATTTTGACAGAGGTCTAGACACCTGAGCCCACCTTGGAACAACATTATGAAGAGCCAAATGCAAATGCATACTCACAGGCATGCATATACACACACACACACACAATGCCAGACACATCTGGGCAAGATCACTGGAGTGTATCCATATCGGTACCCTGGTTGTGATTCTATCAAGCAAGATGTGACCATTAACAGAAACTGAGAGAAGCCTTCCAGGTACCCTCTGTGGTCTTTGCTTACAGCTGTATGTGTACCCACAAGTAACTCAAGGAAAATCTTTGCTTAGCCCAAGTGACACAGAAAGTCCCTGCCCCAGACATCCAAAACCAAAGCAAACAGTTCAGTTAGGTAAGGGGAGGGCTTGAGGTGAGACTTGGTGGTTGTGCTCTTGCCTGGGGTGTTCAAGGCCCTGAGTTTGAGCCTCAGCACCACAGAAACAGAAAGGGGGAAGGAAGGAAGGAAGGAAGGGAGGGAGAGACGAGACGGAGGGAGGGAAGGAGGGAAGGAGGGAGGGAGGGAGGAAGGAAGGAAGGGTAAGAAGGAAGAGAGGGAAAGAAGAAGGGAGGGAGGGAAGAAGGGAGGAAGGAAGAGTGTTACAGAGCCGATTTCAAAGGCGACCCACAGTACAGAATGTGGATTCAGGTTCTCAGATAACAGCGGAACTGAACAAATGTGAACTCCTGAACTGACTTTTGTTCCCTCGGTTGCTGTCTAGACAGCACAATGCAGCACAGATCGGAGGATGCTGAGCAGATCGGAGGATACAGGCCCTTGGGGAGTGGGATGGCATGTGGTCTCACTTCAGCCTCAGGACAGAGATGTGAGTGAAAGGGTCCAGTTGGTATCTTAACCCCAACACCCTATTTGCAAATCAAGTCCCTGCAGACGGAAATGAGCCAAGTTCATTCTGGATAAGGCCATCCCTAACCAGTTGCAGTTGTATGAAGAGGAGAGGAGCCAAGCATGATGGCACATATCAGCCTTCGTGGGACCCAGGAGACCGAGGCAGGAAGATCGTAAGTGCAATGTCATCCTGGATTACACAGCAAATTCCAGGCCACCTGGGCTACACACTGACACCTTGTCTCAATAGAGAGAGGACACAGGAGTGGAGTGAAGATGGTGGGAGAGCTTGGTGGGGTGTGCAACAAGCCAAGGGATCTGAGAATACTAACAGTCAGATCCAGGAAGGGAGAGGCAGGGCTCAGACCCACAGAGAGGTTGGAGCCCGCCCTTTGCTGCTTGACTCCAAGCCCTGGGAACTGTGAGTGTGTGGACTTGTCCCTACATCCCTACCATGTCTATCAAGGGGAAAGATCCATGTGTGTTAAACACTGAGGAAAGTCATCAAAACCGACATATCAGGCCAGGTGTGGGGGCACACACATTTAATCCCAGCACAAATCGAGGTAAAGATCTCCAGAAGTTCCAGGCTAGTTGGGGCTACAGACAGACCCTGCCTCCAAAACAAACAACAACAACAAAAATGCTCCTGTCTTAAACAAACGGGGGTGGAAGCTGAGGCTGAAGCGATGGATCAATGTTTAAAATAGGATATTGCTGTTGTGAAAGACACAAGCTCACTTCCCAGTACCCACAGGGGAGGCTCACAACCGCCTGTAACTCCAGCCCCAGGGGGATATGACGCCCTCTTCTGGCCTCTGAAGGCACCTGCACTCACATGCCATACCCACAGACATGTGCACATAATTTTAAAAATAGCAACTAAGAAAGAGAACAGCATTTGGGAGACAGTGGCTGGTCTCAGAGTTGGGGGTTCAGTTACCCCATCGTCTTGAAAGTGGGTCAGTGGCCTATTTAATCCAGTTTTGGATGAGTGACAGAACTTGATCAAAATCCCACAGTAGATGGAGACCAGCACCTTCACTTTTCCCATTTGCCACACAGTATGCTGCAGCTGGCAGGGGCAATGGGGGGGGGGGTTCATTGCTGCCCATGATCCACTACTCACATTCATGGACAGACAGACAGACACTCCACTGGCTTCAGGGAGTCATCCCCTTGAAGCATTTCTTCAAATTTAGAGAGATAAAAAGGAAACTATCCCACTACGCCCACCACATTCCTTTCCCTGGAAAATCTACCTCCTTTCCACACCCAGAGGATCAAAATCAGAAGTTCAGGGAGCCAAGAAGTGCAAAGCCTCATTTCATTACCCAAACTGCTCAGTCAGAGAGTTGGCTCCGAAACAGCGAAGTGTCAGAGGCGCCTGGCTGATGGGCTGTGTGCTATCAGCAACCCCCCTTTTGATCCTTTTTAATAAAGTCTAAGGGGGGAAGGTAATTTTTCATTTTAAATAGGAAAGGTGTGGTGGCATGGGCTCCAGGGTCATTAATCGTCACCCTTGCCTCCTGTCATTCGTTTCTGGAAAAAATCGTTTTATTTCAAGTCTTGAGATGGGCGGGGAGAAGGGAATAGATTTTAAAAAATGAAAGGTCTGAGGACTGATTAAAGGCATTTCGAGGCATAGGTTGTTTTTTTTTTTTTTCCTTTTGACATTCTCTGATAAGGGACTGGGGGAAATAAAAGCCATTCGAGAGGGAGAAAATGATTTTAGAAAGTCTAGCAAGTGTCTGCCTTCTTTGACCCTTTCCATTGAAACCGAATAAACAGGCAAATGCATGGCTTAGAAGTTGTCTGGATTTTGGAACCAGCATCACACAGGCCTCAGCTTTTCAGAATCAGCTGGGGAGATCCCGGTGGACCCCACCTCTCACCATTCCAAGATTGCATACTGGAGCTTGGAACGTCCCTGAATATTTCAAAGCACTTGCTGTTTCAATCGGTCTAACTATCAGGTGGGAGGCAGGCAGGATCTGTAGACACGGCTTGAGAATATTTTCTCAGATGCAGGGTAAGTTAAAGACTGGAAACAGCTACTACGATTATGAGTTAAAAGCAGCCTTGATCCCTGATCCAAAATGCAAAAAGTTCCAAAGTCCAAAGCATTTCTGGTGCCACCATGAAGCACCAAGTGGAAAATTCCATGGCTGACCCCATGTGACAATCTACAGTGCAAACATGGGCACACTAAAAATACTGCGCAAAATTATTTTCTGAGGCTACAGAGACGTCTCAGTGGATGAAGGGTTTGCCCCACGGACACCAGGACCAGTGTTTTTAGTTGCTGTGATCAGCACCACAACCAACCCAGAAAGGAAAGGATTTATTTGACTTACATATTCCCGTCACAGTCCAGCAGGATGAAAGGTCAGGACAGGAACTCAAGGCAGGAACATAGAGGCCGGAACTAAAGCAGAGACCATGGAGGAGCATGGCCTTCCCATGGCCTCCCCACAGCTTACTCGAGTTGCCTTCCTATACCATCTAGGATAGTGGTTGCGAAGCACTGACCTTGGACTTCCTGCCCAGGGATGGAGCTACCCACAGTGGGCTGGACCCCAACACATCAATCATTACTTAAGAAACCACCCCACACATGTGCTCACAGCCCAATCTGTGTGTGTGTCTCTCTCTGTGTCTCCCTTCCTCCGCCCCTCTAGTTTGTGTCAGTTTGGCTAAACTAACCAGCACAGGATCTGATTGCAGAATCCACATAAAAGCAAACTAGGTGTGACAGCACCAGTGTAATCCCAGCATTGGGGAGGCAGAGACACAAGCAAACCAGCAAACCAGACTCAACTAAACATCAAACTCTAGATTCACAAAAGACCCTT